TAACCAAAAATCACGACATGGCCAAAATACAATTGTTGTTTATTTTTTTGCAGCGAAATAATGGTCTAATTAGGCAAAAGTTAACACACAAAAATACCTCACTTTCCAACGCTGTGTATTCAATTGCTCAACTCCGAGTCTTATGAAAACTTTTGGAGATAAGCACATAATTATAATCTTTACCATCAACTGAATTTCGAAGTTTGGACGACTTGATAACATGCCCAAATGCTATTTTGAAAATTTCCCTTCATTGAAGTCATCAAAAGCCCGACTCATTATCCTCAATATTTCTTTCAAAATTCAACTATACAGGCCAAACAAGCATTCGTACGATACACTAGTTACTACTTCGTCGTTACAGTGCAAAAACATCCTCAAGAATTTCGTAGTTAATGAAAAAACAGCAAAAATACAACAGCAGGAAAAATCACGTTCCTTGTCAACTTTTGCCGAAAAGCACGCTCGTGCCAGTCCTTTTCCGCATCACACATCGATCAGCGCGACATCAGCGCGTTTCACCGCCCTCTATATAAGCGCCCTGGTCCGAGCGTTTAAGTTTGCGCCGTGGCATCAGCATACTCGTGGCGTATTGGCTTGCGTAACGTAAACAGTAACCGTCCAAATTTTAATTACAGTTTCCAAGTTGACAAAATGAACAACAAAACGTCCAAAATCACGCAAAGAAGAAAACAAAACTTTATACAAACGTCCAATTTCTGTAGAAACAACTTTTACCAAGCGTTAAAGATGATATTCCGAAGGAAAGCGTTGTTAATTATCTTAAAATGCGAAGAAAACGCGGACCACTTGCGTGCGTGACCGCACGCGAACGTCACGTTTTCCTATAGTTAGTTTTTTCAATGGACCACTTTGGCGGTTTTGTGTTAATTGGAAACACGTGCTCGAGAAATCGGAAACTCGGACAAACATGGCGGAGCGTAATACAAATGCTATTCAAAATACACAAATGTTTCGGCCATTTAATAGATAGATTTGCTTGCTTTCGTCACGAAACAATAGTTGAAATGGAAAATATGTCACGAGAAGAGAAATTCAAACCCATGAAGCTGCCGGAGCTCAAAGCATACTAACAAAATCGAAGAATTACTGTTAACAGTTTATCTCAAACCCGGACTCGTAGCTATTGCTTGTGCCCGTCGAAGAAATGAGTTTTTCATTGCTTTTTCATGCAAGTCAGTGAAGCCCAAGACCAGTTAAATCTAAGCCGTCGTTTGAAAGTTCACGATATTCATGATCCTTTTAAAATGAATGTTTTAAACGATTTTAAGCTCCTTTGGTTTGTTTGATGTATTTAATCATCTCATATATCACTCGTCAGAATATGACAAGCAAAGTCTACGGAAGCATATAAATATCTTTTACAATTCGTACGCATTTTAATGTGCGTTTTATATGCTAGACGGAGATTAGGATTATAACTTATATTTTCCATACTAGTTATTGCTGATACAGGGTCTGGATGTTCTTCAGTAGGACAATTTGGCGGCCAACAAAATGAAGGCTACATATATAACTATCCTTCGTATCCAGCGCCCTCGTTTTGCGATATGGTATCTAGCCCATTGGCATTGCTGTTTCGTTTTAACCGATCAGGATACCGTGAATCGCTTTTACAAGTACCACAAGCGCACTTTTTAGTCGTAACCATTCTATATTGTTATATATATATATATATATATATATATATATATATATATATATATATATATATATATATATATATATATATATATATATATATATATATATATATATATATACGCTCCGCCATGTTTGATATCTTTTTTTATATTTTCCTGGGGCTAGATACCATAGCGCAAAACGAGAGCGCTTGATACGTGCATGCCACAGAGGCGATAAATTTGTGTGTACGAAGGATAGTTATATACTGTATGTAGCCTTCATTTTGTTGGCCGACAAAATGGTCCTACTGAATAACATTCAGACCCTGTATCAGCAATAACTAGTACGGAAAATATAAGTAATCCTATAAATCTCCGTCTAGCTAGCATATAAAACGCACTTTAAAATGCGCACGATATGTAAAAGATATTTATAAGCTGCTAGACTTTGCTTGTCATATTCTGACGAGTGATATATGAGATGATTAAATATATCAAGCAAACCAAAGGGGCTTAAAATCGTTTAAAACATTCATTTTAAAAGGATCAGGCAGCTGAATATCGTGAACTTTCAAACAACGGCTTAGATTTAACTGGTCTTGGGTTCACTGACTTGAAAAAGCAATGAAAAACTCATTTCTTCGACGGGCACAAGCAATAGCTACGCGTACGGGTTTGAGGTAAACTGTTAATAGTAATTCCTCGATTTTGTTAGTATGCTTTGAGCTCCGGCAGCTTCATGGCCTTGAATTTCTCTTCTCGTGACATATTTTCCATTTTTACTATTGTTTCGTGACGAAAGCAAGCACATTTATCTATTAAATGGCCGAAACATTTGTGTATTTTGAATAGCATTTGTATTACGCTCCGCCATGTTTGTCCGAGTTTCCGATTTCTCGAGCACGTGTTTCCAATTAACACAAAACCGCCAAAGTGGTCCATTGGCAATTCCAGCTTTTAATTTATGCCCGCAGGCGATGATGGGAAGTAAGGTATCATATTGTTGATTATGCTGAAAAATTTCAATAAAAACTACCGAAACAACCGAAATATTTCAATATTTACAAGTATAAGCTATCCTCCGTGTTTACATGGCCACCATTTTTATTTTTTCAGCATAATCAGCAATGTGATACCTTACTTCCTATCGTCCCCTGCACGCATAAATTAAAAGCTGGAATTGCCCTCTCTCCTCCGCAGAGGCTTTTAATTAAAGAATATGAAATTCGAAGGAATTGAAATTGCGCTAGAAGGTATCTGGTATAAAGACAACCGCTGAAAATCGGCGCGCGGGCGAGGGGAAGGGAAGGAAAAATAGCGGAAGCCTCTGCCCGATTTATGTCCCAATATGGCGTTAAACCGGGGGGGGGAACAGAGACTCGTGCAGATTCTCGAGAAGTTTGGCAAAATGGCTCAGTTGCGTATGAATTATTCATGTCCACGAAGGCAATTTATTTTGGCTTTGCGGAGCAGGAAAACGTGTTGTGCTGTCTGTGGTTCACAAACAACAGATATATTTAGTCAACTAGGCCTTCAACAACATTACCGAATTACACACAAAGGCACACAATTCGATGATAATAGTTCGGATTTATATACTTTAAATTGCCGATGTATTTTACAATGAATGTGTGTTTTAATACAGGATATTGAAAATTACAAGATTTTTGATGTTGAAGGCGATCGTGAGAACATAGTGTTGTGTTGTTCAAACGAGACAGAGGCAGCGAAGTTGTTTGGGTTATATTTAGACCGTAAAGGTCCTTGCCAAAACTATTTATTATTTTCATTCATTCAATCCCATAAACACAATATTATACCAAAATATATACGTTGGCCAACAGATCTTTATCCAAAATGTCTTCACATTATCAAATAAAATTTAAAACAGAAACGATTGTTGAGATAATATACGGATGCTACAGATATCGCCAATTTGTCACAGATATCGACACAAGTCGGGCAGAGGCTTCCGCTATTTTTTCCTTCCCTTCCCCTCGCCCGCGCGCCGATTTTCAGCGGTTGTCTTCATACCAGATACCTTCTAGGGCAATTTCAATTTCTTCGAATTTCATTAAAGCCTCTGCGGAGGAGAGAGGGACTTGCCTATTAAAAGGGCTAAAATGCGCCTTAAAGAACATCATTCAAAAGGCTGAACTGTGCCTTTAACCAATCAAAACGCTTGCAGCGACTACAATGTATAAAACAAAAATTATAAACCCTCGAAAAATAAACAATATACTAATCTGTCAACAATATTAACCTGGGTACTCATCATCGTTAGTGTCAACATTTCCTGTTACAGCATAGCCAAATTGTTGGAAGTTAGGGAAGAATGCCTTCACTGTGTCTGCAGTTATTTTCTACAAACATCAAAGTTTATTAGATTACGTTAGCCTGGGAAGTAAAACATCGAAACAAACTGCACAATAAGTTGACTCTTACAAAATATCAATATATGAAAATGAATAAAATTTTAACCTATATATATATATATATATATATATATATATATATATATATATATATATATATATATATATATATATATATATATATATATATATATATAGTAACCTACACAGGGTGTATAAAAAATCTGAACAGATTTGAAATTGCTCTTAATTTCGCAAAACAGCTAAAAGTATCCAGCTTTTGATGTATAGATAGGACTACTTCTCTTTCAAATCTTTTTGGTTAGATAAGCTTCACTCAAACTCTAAACCTAGTCTTGACAAAAATATTTGAAAAAGAAGCCGTATTGGCCATTATTTCAACAATGTTGGATGATGTTGGCCCAACAATGTTGGATCCGTTTAAACAGGGCTTAAGTATATCTGATAAAACACTCCTATATATATATATATATATATATATATATATATATATATATATATATATATATATATATATATATATATATATATATATATATATATATATATATATATATATATATATATATATATATATATATATATATAGCTTAAGATTTTGGTTTACGAAACACAAACAATAAAAAAAAATATATATATATATATATATATATATATATATATATATATATATATATATATATATATATATATATATATATATATAAAATTATAAAATATATTTTATAATTTTTTATTTTATTCATGAATTTTTAATAGACTAGCTTGTATATAATAGACGTATATATTGTAACAAGTAATATTCCACTGATGAAGCCTTGACCGGCGAAACGTCTGGAAAATAAAAACCTTTTTAACATCTTTTTATTCCAAATTTTGTGCCTGAAGAAATTCCTTTTTAACCTTTTCAAATATTCACCGGGCATGTTACCTACAACCCCTTCATCATATCGTACAGCGAAGAATAAGGTTCGCCTACTCAGCAATATTTCGTTTCTTCGTAATTGCAAGTCTTTAAAAATAATACCTAATGGACTACGAGCAACCAATGTTCTCAAAAATACAGTTAACTCATCTTCAGCGCGTAAGCTGGCTGACAAATATAGCCGACAATGGCTGCAACTGATGATTGAATCTCAGTATCACCGTTTAGCTAAAATTCGCCTGAACAAAGGCAGCAAGGTTTTAAAAACCTATCTAAAGAAACATTGGACACGGATCTTATTAACGTTTTGAACAAGGGACCATCATTTGTTAACGCAGAACCCAAAGAATTGTCGAAGCTTTGTTTACTTGCCAAAGCCAATCTACAATTAGTAACAGACAAACTAAATCAAGAAGATGTACCCGAGAATGCCATTAATGAATTCAAGGGAGGTATGGCGCGTATTATCAGTGAATGTATACAGTCTGGGCCTAACATATTGAAAGACAAGAAACTACATTATAAACCACCTCCTGACAATATCGTCATCACTTCCTCAGACAAATCCAAACGACTGATTGCGTTAGATTCTACATGTTATCACGATATGGTTGATAAATCCACTATCGAAACCGGTAATTATACAGTGTTGAAGAGACAAAATCTCCCGCCGACAGAGGAAATCAACTTCAACGGTAAGCTTAATAATATAGCAAATAAGTATAAAACCCAAGATCCCAAGCTATATGCAGCTTTAAAGGCTAATATCTGCAGCGAACCCATGTCCTGTCCTGTATACTGCCTCCCAAAAGATCATAAAGAAGGAGATCTAAAAGGTAGACCGATTCATGCCGCTACCGATACACCGGCTACACACTCTTAAAAATAGGTGTGCTAAACAACACACCTTGGTGTGTTATTTAGCACACAAGGTGTGCTAAAATAGCACACAAGGTGTGTTTTCTTGTCACTGAACACACAAAGGTGTGCTACAAAACACACCAAGGTGTTCTACAAAACACACCAAGGTGTGCTGAGCAGAACACAGTGTACGCAAAAGGTGTGTTCTGTAACACACCTTTAGCTAACACTATATATATATATATATATA